TTTTTTTTTTTTTTTTTTGTTTTTTTGTATTATTATAATTTAAATTTGCTTTGTTTGTTATTTTGATAAAGTTTTGTGTTTTTCTGTTTCTTCGTCTTCTTCTTTTGTGATCAAGTAATTCCTTTCTCCTCTATATATATATATATATATATATATATAAAAAAAAGAAATTATATTTACTTATTTAGCGTGTGTTATATAACAGTTTCCTACAACTTCAAAAAAAAAGGATGATAACTTTGTGTTATACAACAACAACAACAACAACAACAACAATTATAATAACAACAACAATAACAAAAACTAAATACCAATGATTTGATTTTTTTCTAACATAAACAAATTGTTGAAATACAAATTAAGAAAACTTTGACAATTTTTTAAAATGCCAAAAAAAAAACGATTTTAAAATTTGTCAAAGTTTTCCACGATACACCCAAGCATACACAAAATATATCAAAAAAAAAAAAAAATAGAAAAGGAGGAACAAATACACCCACGTTGCTGTGTAAAGCCGAGAAATTGATTCTCCCGATCTCTCTCTCTCTCTCTCCCTCTCTCTCTCTCTCACACAATCTCTCTCTCACTCTCTCTCTCTCTCTCTCTCTCTCTCTCCCTCACACTCTCTCATTGTATCTCTTTCTCTCGCTTTCGCTCTTTTACTCTGCCCTGTCAATACACTGCGTTGAATTTCGGGAGAGGAGAAATGAGAATAAAATTGCAAATTAAAAATTTTTTATACGGCATTATACGTTTTAGGCGGCGTTTTAGGGAATTTTACAAAGTTGTAAAATTTGTTGAAATCTCTATAGGAATATTTAGGATCTAAAAGTGGAAATGTGGAGAATATTACGAGGCACATATATATATATATATATATATATATATATATACATATATATTTATATATATATAAAATAATATTTAATTATTAGTAGATTTATTATAACTACAGATGATAACAGTAAAAATTTAATATTGTCACCCATTTCTCGACATCATCACAACATTTTGTATAACAAAAAATAAAGGCAAAAACAATAATCATACGAGTATCTTATAAATTAACATTTTTTAAATGAATATAATATAAGAGATTTCTGTATCAACTGCCGAATCTTAACTCATACTCCTTCTGATAACCGAAGATAATTCGGGGCAATGAAAAAAGCATAAAGACTCTCATCTCCAGAGAAAGGAAATAACGAAAAATTTCGTTTTTCTCTTTTTAAACTTATTCTTTTATTTTTGGTTTTCGTCACACAATTTTTTTGGTAAAGATATAATACTCCCTTCACATAACATCAAAAAAAGCACCTTCAGTCTTAGTATCTTTGAGTGGAAAAACTGAAATTGTTATGCATAGTTAGCAGACGCCTCCCATCATTGTCACTATGTTTTGTAACTAACTTACTTGTTGAAATACGAAAGATATTTTTTTTGGTTTCTTTTTTTTGTTTTTTTTTTTTGTTTTGTTATTGTTCCTTTTTATTATATTTCACCTTCCTCCTTTCCTTGCAATACCCACCGTCATGTGTTGGAAATAATTGCCAAAGCGACTGTAAAACCCGGGAGCATTGGATTTCCCCCTAAGATATAATTTAATCTGGCTATCATTTTGTCTTTGCGTGCAATTGCACTTGCATTTGTCTTTGTCGGCTCGTCTTTTCGTTTAATTGTCCTTTCATTCATACCTCTTTAAATTACGAGAAAGCATGCAACCACATATATACACGCCATTCGCTGTCTTTGACAAATTTGTCATGAATATGGACTTGGTGCGCTTATAAGAGTTTAAAAGCTTTCTCAAGAGAGACTGAACTCACATTTTCCGGTTGTCAGTAGCTTATGTCCTTTCAACGAGGATATCAATCGAAAATTTTAGTTTCTTGTAATTTTAGCTAATCAGTTTAGCTAAATCAGTTTTTCATATTTTTGTTAGGTGGTGGGTATTCAAAATTCGTCTCAAGGTGAATGCTTTTTTTTACTTTGTAACGCTATTTTTATCTCTTCTTAATATTTACACATTTGATTGCCATTAAATCGATTCGATTATTTTTAAGCCTGCATTGCAATGCTTTTTATTTTCATTTTCATATCCTCTTAACACTTTTCTCTCTTATGCTATTTCTCTTTTTTCGAACGATGTATTTTCCAATCTCCTAATTTTGGTCTAATATTGCTTGAGTACAATTACTAATTACTACGCGAGTATCTTTGGAAACTTTGCAGGAAGCAAATTTTGTTTTATTCAGTTTACATGCGAATCAGTTAAGAAAGCTAGTAAAGAAAAAAATGGAGACTATTTTTTTACATTAAAGAGTAGAAAAATTCATATATGAATGTAAGAGACAGTTGTTTTGTTCTACAATATTTTTGCTGTAGGCATCAGAAATTTTACATTGGAATCTTAACTATATATGTATATGCATACACATATTTATGTAATTCTTATGATAATAGCGTTTAATGTTGATTGGGCTATGCCCATCCACTTATATACTCTTTGCTGCGAAAGGCGAAAAAATTGAGTTAAGCAACTAAAATGTTGTTCACGCTTCCTAATCCTTGCAGATTAAGTTGAAGAATAAGTTCATGGCCGCTGGGCTTATAGGCTGAGATCCTCTCAAACTTGCCAAAATAGTTAAAAATAAAAAAGAAAAACTGAACTGTTATCGATTTCTAATTCGTATACTTGTCTACGACGATCGTCTTCGATTTTCTTTTTTGATATCAAAAAGGCTACAGTCGAGTCTAATAAAGGAAACCCCTCTCTAGAAGGCGAAATACCTACTTACCGGATACGACGCGTTCGGTTATTTCCTACAGATTAGATTTTTCCATCCGCCATTGCGTTTTGTTCTCGTCTTTACTCGGAATGGTAAAAGTTACGCAAACGAAAACCAGAGCTGAAATCCTTCATATATAAATTTGTTAAAATTGGAGTGTGGGTCGCGCTAATAAATCTATAAACTACGCTCGAAAACATAACAGCAATGGCTAAAAGACCAAATCGGTTAAAAAAAAAAAAAAAAACATCAAGCACCAAGAAAAAAAAAAGGAAAGAATTTTTAGTTTTTCTCTAAGCAATAAGTACAAGATGATGAATTCCTTGACTTGTTTTGCATAAGTTAATTCTTGAGCATGGCTTAACCACATTTAAATATGTTGTTTGGCACAATCACTTTTCGTTTCTTACAGTAGTTTCATTAAGTAAATAAACCATTTTTTAACCAGCCTACGTAAATGAGTACCCAAGAGAAGGCAAGTTGCAAACACAACACAGCGAGTGTTTGATGAATCCATTGATTCCAAAGGATACGTTTGATTCGTTGGATTGCATATCTACGATGTATTCGTTTCAAGCGAATGAATGAAGGGACATACCATTTAACTTCCAATTTATATGCAAAGTGCGAAATCTGTCTAGCCTAAGGCAGCTGCAAAGTTGAATTGGCGATTGTCGAAAAGTAACTACACTCTCACAACATCTCAATTGTTGGCACATGCCCAAGGGTATTGCTCAAATTTTTTTGTGCAAAAATGCTGGGTCGTCAGCTCATATTCAGGCCGAGAACTTTTCAAATAATCAACGCATCCCATGCGCCACGCTACTGTTAAATGCTTACTCCTTCATAGGGCATCAAGGCAAATGAATCGCAGATCAACCAATTCTCCCAAGCTGTATGCGTCCATCTTTGACCTAAATTGTTAAAAAAGTTTTTTCTGCTTTTGTTTTGGATATGCGAGTTTCTCTATCTCTCTCTTTTCTTTCCTATATACCATAATTAAGATTAAATATAAAAAAAGTATGGAAAGACTATGTTTAGTAGACAACAAATAGTTTTTCCAGAGTTTTCCTGGACTCAATTAAAGTTCTTCTTCTAATTAAGATCCTTTTTTCAGATGAGATTTGATTATTAAAGACTACAAGTTTTCTAGTTTTCAAGTTTATTAGCCTTCTCGTGCATGATTTCCGAATAAATTTTACTTATAAAGCAAAAGCTGAGCGGTCCAAAATTTTGCAGACTTAAATCGAAATTGAGAACAGAACGTTGTATTTTTTGCATCGACCTGATGTCTATTTTTAAATCGTAAAATTGCTCTCTTGGCTTTTGTTTATATAAATAATTTTTGGGATGTACGTATATATATCGCCGATTCTTTGGACTTTGAGAATACGATGCATCTAAAGCTAACAGTTTTGTTGGGTTAGCCAAAAAAAGTATCAAAGCCTTCCTTTAGCGAACCGATTCTTACTTCTTTGAATAATTTGTGAGTAATTGGTTCAAATATTTCTTGAAGGATCTTTTTTAGAATACTTATTCTATTAAACGAAAGTCATATGTTAACTTACGTTATATCACTCGGAATACTAATATTGCAGGCAAGGCAATTGAAAAAGTTCGAACGTCAGCTATGTCAAACGCCAATATTTAGTGGTAAATCTATATACATATATATGGGAGTTGGTCAAAGACGAAATTCATGAATTCCAGAAACAGTGTACAAGCACAAGTCAAAGTGTAACAATCGTTGAATATATTTATCCCATTCCTATAAGCTAAATTGCATGCGAAAAATTCTCGCACCTAACTGTTTTGCTATTAACGATGAGATAGTCCTTGTCCTTAGTTTACTGCCGAGTATCGATGTATTTAGGTTCATCTAGCATGCGGGCCTCATAAGCATTTACAAAATTGCCGAAGAAACACAGGCCCCTTACTCGAAAACATTAAATAAAAGTTCTTCATTCTTTTGATTTCGGGCGCGGTAAAATCGTTATAAAAACTTTAATCTCTAAAATTAAACAAAAAAGCGAATATATTGTTACAAATATAAAAATACTTTAGCAACGAGGGCAATCGTTGAGTTGTTTGTAGGATTTTTTACTTTTGAGGAGGGAATATCTGGTTACATTGAATATGTAATCATACCATCCTTCCAAATGCTTTTCCGAGTAGTTCCGTAGTGAGTGTATAAAGTTGGCATGTCCGGGCTGAATTCTCAGTGCTTAAGCCTTACTTCAGATACGTTCGGTACGTAATTGTAGCTATAGCAGACGCTCGCCCGGTAAAAGCATAACACATACGGATCAGGTATTCACCTCACTCTCTCTCTCACTCTCACTCATCTCTACGTTCCAGTCAATGTCGTGTTATATGCATAGGAGACGCGCCCGGCTTGGTTGCCCATTATCAAAAGCATGTCGATCAAAGAGAGATTTTTTGGATCGCTGCAGTACTCGTGGCACAAAACGAAATATATTTTAGGGAAACAAGAAAAATAAATTTGAACTGTCGAATTTATATAGCTAGAGGGTGTGAAAAATTTTTCCTTTTTGATTAAACATTGCAGCTATGTATGTTATTAAATGAAAAATTGTTACGCACACTTTCCATCCAAGAATATCGTGAATTGTTTACTGTTTTTAGCTTGATGAAGCTCTTAATGACTACGGTAGCGTATTCTAGGATTCTCTACAAATTTTGTTTGCTTACAGTAACCGATATTTGAATTTCGTGCAAGAAAAATGCTGTCAATGAACCAAAAAACCATAAAGACACGATTGCTAGCGAGCACTCATCGAGTTTAGATGATTAGATTTGATTTGATTCAACAGCAGAAATGTACACAAAATTATTCGCGAATATTGTGATCGAAATTTGGGGAAATATTTAAAATTAAATTTTAAAAAATTCTTCGAAGTTGTCTTTGTCGACTGGACTAAGTAATGACACAATGATCTCAATTGCTTCGAAAAGAGGTTCTTCTTCAGTAAGAGACCAGGGAAATTAAAAAAAACCTGTTTTAGCTTCGTAGCTTAAATGCATATTTTAAACGGGCTAAGTCGAAATCGACATATGCTTAGCTTATGAAGGTTGAGTAATTTTTTATGTTTTATTGTAATTTTATTATTCATTTAATTCAGTTAATGTGACTTAAACATTATGTAATACGTAACGTAAATAATAATAATATATATTATTCTGTTAGTATTTCGAATCAAAATCTATTCACCAATAAAGCCTATGCAATAAATTATTTTGCATTGTATCTATAATAAATCATAAGGAAGACAAACATCTTTCACCCATAAGCACATTTACTACATTGAAGAGCGCAACAATTTATTGTTTTACTTTATATTAATATACATATATATATTTACTAAGTCTTAGTTAAACCATAATTTTGTGTAGGCATCACTTTCCTTCTCGTTTGTTTTTCACTTTCTCTATCTTTCCATCACTCGCTCTCTCTCTCTCTCTTTCTTTCTTTGTCTTTGTTTCTTTATCTGTACGACTTTTTTGGACTTTACTTATTTTCAATTTTTTCAAATTTTTTTTTTTTTTTAAAACAATAATTATTAGAAATTATATTTGTTGTATTTGAGTTCTTTTTATTTATAATTTCTTTATCATTTTTTGTTTTCGCTTTAAGAATTTTCTCATATATGGTAGCAACAGCAACAATAAGTCACTTACAATCAACTTTTGCATCTTTCTCTGTTCCAAATTTTCTTTTTTTACGTTTGTTTTTTGACTATTTGTTTTTTTTCTCTCTCTCTTTCTCTCTCTATCTCAACATATGTGTTGTGTGTATGTATGTATATATACATTGCAATGCAATTAAATTATAAATCCATATGCGTTGTATGTGTGTATGAAACTTAAAAAAAAAAAAAAAATTATATAAAAAAACAAAAAAAAAAATATTTAAACATTCAAATAGTAAATGCATCCGAAGATGAAGAGCGCTTGGTACGTGACCTCTTTCGAGGCTATAACAAATTGATACGACCCGTACAGAATATGACACAAAAAGTTGGAGTAAGATTTGGTTTGGCGTTCGTACAGCTAATCAATGTCGTAAGTGTTCATTTTCTGAATAATTTAAAATAAAATAATAACGCAATAGTTAAACAAAGAAAAAAAATAATAAAAGTTAGATACTAAAAATCACACACAATATTTATATATATTGATTATATATATATATATATATATATATATATATATATATACTGATATATGTATGTGTATATATATATATGTATATATATATATATGTTGATATACGATATACTGACATATATATATATATGTATATACATATATATATATATATATATATATATATATGCTTACACATATATGTACTACAAAAGGATATTATAACACCTAATATAAAAAAAAAAAAAAACGAGAAAATAATAATTAGACTTCATTTTGATTTCGAGCATTCTAGTTAAAAGATATTTACATATAACATACGTTACGTGGTATGATTTTCCATTCTTCCTTTTTCGTTTTCCCGTCTTTGCCATGTATATAATCCAATTTCCCTATAAAATTTTTACGAATGAAAGGAATGCATATTAAATCGAAAGACCGAAATTTCATTTTCAATTAATGTAAATATATATTTTTTTCTTTTTTTTTTTTTGTAAATAAACAGTTTTTGTTCCATGTGATAATAACGTCGTTAAATTCTTCACATGGGCACTATAAATGAAGAATTTTATAAAATATATCTATTAATATTTATATATTTATTACTCTCTCTCTCTCTCTCTCTCTCTCTCTCTCTCTCTCTCTTTCTCTCTCTATCTCTATTTCTCTCTTTATTTAAATAACTCTCTTGTAAACTATTGACCAATGAATATTTGAATGATGAAATTGTTCTTACTCCTCTGCTCCTTATCGCCCGCTTTGCGTGTGCATACGTATGTGTGTGTGTGTGTGTGTGTGTGTGTGTGTGTGTGTTTGAGAGTGTGTATACTCTCTCGCTGTCACTCTCAATCACTGTCTACATGTCTCTCTCTGTCTCTGTCTCTCTCTCTCTCTCTCTCTCTCTCTCTCTCTCTCTCTTTCTGTTTTTCTCTTCTCTCATTGTATTTGCCTCTCCTTACCCATATATACAATAATAACAATAATATTCTCTTCGTTTTGTTTACTGAAAACAATACCATTGAAATAACATGTTATGCCCTGCAACCACATGTACTCGTATCTCAATGTGTGCGTATGCGTGCGTGTGTGTGTATGTCTCTAAACGTATGTGATTATCACTCACTCGTTCATCCCGATTCTCGCCTTGCTTTTGAGATTGACAAATAAAAAAAAAAAAAAAAAACAAATCCACAAAAAAAAACAATAATTATTGTTGTAAACAAACAACACTTTCCCCCCCAGAATGAGAAAAATCAAATTATGAAATCAAACGTATGGTTACGTTTGGTTTGGTTCGATTATCAATTGCAATGGGATGAAGCCGATTATGGCGGTATTGGTGTATTACGCTTGCCACCAGATAAGGTTTGGAAGCCGGACATTGTGCTATTCAATAAGTGAGTACATTATTCATCAACATTATCAATCATTTCGTTTTGGATAAGAGCCGAATAATAGGAAAAATAGGAAAGTAGGAAAGTTTAGAGCAATCTATCAAAATTCAAGATATATTGAGAAAGATTTCAACAAAATACATACACAGTGTACTATTAGTGGTAATATATTGTGCTATAGAGCGTAACACATTCATTACAATGTGTTACCAGCGGTATCCTTTCCTCAGACACTTTAAAGAATAAAAGCTTTTACCCATATCTCATAACTCTCGTATGAAATTCATTGCGCGGCGCTATACTACGCGAACGGTATTGATATTTTTCTGGCATTTAAATAAAATCACTCATATCTGACCAATTAGAAGTAGTAATTAAGCATCTCGGGCACACACTCTTTGTGCATTCTTTTTTATGTTGTCATAAGATCATTAACATTAAGCGGATCACGTTGAGTCTTTAAGGGTCATTTGAAAAATTGTTTTTTTTGTTTAAATTAACAAATAACTTGTTTTGTTAGTCTACAGTTCTACATGATGTCAAAATCAATGCTCTTCGTTTTTCTAGCGAATTTTACCATGAGCTCCCAATTTTGAAAAGAAAGGACTTAATGGACCCAAAAATCGAGACAGAGAACAGTGGTCGCAGTATCACATCCGATAATGTCTTTATGAGCGACGAACTGAACCAAAGCCCGTATAGTCTATAGTGTCTGTGTAATATCTATTTTAACCATCCTCTTGGCCGTAAAAATGAAGCTATTGCCGTCAAATTTCACAGAGACTTTGGAAGTTATAGCACGTAGGACACGTTTACATTGTAAAAGATTTGCTCACAGCCGAATACAATTTTCTTACTTTAATTTAATTTTTGAGGATTATATTAATACGAAATCAGAAAATATATGGTTTGAGTGCAATCTTCTTTGCTTACATAAAACTTGTTTCGATAAATAAGCGAATCTGCATTGTAAACAGCTTTCTGTCGAAGATATGGGATTCCTCTTAACTGCGAGTTTTTGACGATTCACTGAAAACAAAACCCGTAGTGCGGGCTTAGGATTAAAGGTGAAGTTTAGACATTTATTGAGTAACGTTGAAAACCTGACGCTCCTCCTCAATAGGAGTATTTAAAAATGTTGAGTAAATTCTTTTTAGGAAGTTCGCCTTAGAATCCGTAGTAAGGTCTTCTTAAATAATCTTTATATTGCGTACGATAACGTTTTTTTTTTTTTTTTTTCTTTGTTTATTGTTATGTGAGCATTGAGAAATACTTTAAATGGTTTTTGGTACATATTTTGATTTAATTTTTGGTTAATATTATCTACGTTTTCGGTACCCTTTCCATACAGTCTGCCTTTGCGATCTGTCGCCTCTTTATCACTTTCTTTGCCTGATCGTTTGTCAGTCTGGTCGCTTTTCCATATGACCATTTATACGATCTTCGATTCGATTTCTTCTTATTTTTTTCCTTCCTCTGTTGGTCTATCTCTCTGACCGTTTTCTTGACCGTAAGCCCCTCTTTTCGCTCGTCTATCTACTTTTCTTTATATCTAAAGTTTGGCACACATATATATATAACATAGATAGATGATCAGTAAGTAATATTCAAAACGTTTCTTATTCGTAGAAATCAAAATCCTGTGCTTTTTGATGAAATCTTAGGTTTTCAGCTATTTTAGATATGCTTGTAAACGAAGTTAGCCCATTTTTAACTAACTATCAAATGGAGCCATAAGTAAATTTTGGAATTATCGCATGGTAGTCTTGATTATTTTTATATATGGCTTGTGTTGTAACATCAGACAGACGCACAGTGCTAGAATGCACACAGTTTACCTAAAGTCTTCAATTGACCAATTGACCAATATTTCTCGATACTCGGTATTATGAAGAGATCGAAGTTGCTACTGGTTTGCATTTTCTCTTTACTGAATGGAATATTTGAAAAGCGTAGGAAACGTTCATTTTATCATACTTGTCAGGTTCGTTCGTAACTTCCATATATATTAATGTTTATGTAGAGAACGTATATATGCTATGCATATTATCTGCATATATATATATGTATATGTACATATATATGTAAATGTAAGATTATTAAATGAGGATTTCTTATCTAGTGCTGACGGTAATTACGAGGTGCGCTACAAATCTAATGTATTAATTTATCCTACGGGTGAAGTGTTATGGGTGCCACCGGCGATCTATCAAAGTTCGTGTACCATCGATGTCACCTATTTTCCATTTGATCAGCAAACTTGTATAATGAAATTTGGTTCTTGGACTTTTAACGGAGATCAAGTATCGCTAGCGTTATATAATAATAAGAATTTTGTGGATTTGTCGGATTATTGGAAATCGGGTACTTGGGATATAATTGAAGTGCCTGCCTATCTAAATGTTTACGAAGGTGATGGTAATCATCCTACGGAAACAGATATAACATTTTATATTATAATACGACGTAAGACATTGTTCTATACTGTGAACTTGATATTGCCAACAGTATTGATATCATTTCTATGCGTATTGGTTTTTTATTTGCCAGCAGAAGCGGGCGAGAAAGTAAGTGAAATGAATTCAATAAATTTAAATATGTCCATGCCCATATTTGCTTTGCTTGCGGACTATATTTTTTTTTGTTTTAGGTTACCTTGGGCATTAGTATTCTACTATCACTGGTCGTGTTCTTGTTGCTGGTGTCGAAAATTCTACCACCCACCTCTTTGGTTTTGCCACTAATAGCTAAGTATCTATTGTTTACATTTATCATGAATACGGTCTCAATTTTGGTTACTGTGGTCATCATTAATTGGAATTTTCGGGGACCGCGTACCCATCGTATGCCTATGTGGATACGTACAGTTTTTCTTCATTATTTACCTGCCCTTTTGCTAATGAAACGGCCACGCAAAACTCGTCTGCGTTGGATGATGGAAATGCCAGGCATTAGCATGCCAGCTCATCCGCATCCATCGTATGGATCACCGGCCGAATTACCTAAACATATTAGGTAATGTATCGCAAGCGAAAAGTAATTTGAAAGATTCTCTTAAAATTTGCTTTCGTTGCGCATTAGTGCCATTGGTGGTAAGCAGTCCAAAATGGAGGTTATGGAATTATCCGATTTACATCATCCAAATTGTAAAATAAATCGTAAAGTTAATAGTGGCGCCGATCTAGGACTTGGCGATCAGTGTAGAAGGGAAAGTGAATCGTCTGATTCCATACTATTATCACCGGAGGCCAGTAAAGCTACCGAGGCGGTAGAATTCATTGCTGAACACTTACGTAATGAAGATCTTTATATACAAGTGAGTGCATTAGCATGCTTTTAGGCTTATCGTTACGTCAACTCATCTCAAATCAAAAATTTCAATTATTATTATATTTTTTCTTTACGTTTTTTTTAGACACGCGAAGATTGGAAGTACGTAGCTATGGTTATAGATCGATTGCAATTGTATATTTTCTTTATTGTTACCACTGCCGGTACAGTGGGCATATTAATGGATGCCCCGCACATTTTCGAATACGTGGATCAAGATCGCATTATAGAAATCTATCGTGGCAAATAAGTTGCGTTGAAAGAAAAAAAAAAAAAAACAAATAAAAAATAAACAAACACTCGCAAAAGCAACCACATTGTTGTTGCATTTTTCTAATCTTAAGCTACTAAGAAAATACAAAACAAACAAAAAAAAAAAAAAAAAACACACGAACTAAGAAAAAAAAATATATCGAAAAGAAGACAAAAAGTTAAACATTGCAATTTGCAACAATAATATTAAAATAAAAAAAATGCTAATTTTAATTGAAAACAACTTCGTTAAAGGAAAATAACAGATTTGCAAACTTTGCAATTAAATTAAATTAAGTGAAACAAAAAACAAGAAAACAAAAAAAAATAATAATGAAATGAACAATTTTTTTACTAGCAAATTTTTTGATAACCAAACAATGCACCACCACTACCACCAACCATCCTTATCAGCATTATAATTTACATATAAATATTTCATCTAACAATTGAAAGGAGTATTATTAGTTAAAATCTTTAGCGTGTATGTACGTAAATAACAAAAAAAAAAAAAAAAGAAAAGCAAAGAAATTTATTAAAATGCAATTGTTTGCTTGATGAAGAAAAGTTGCTCACTAATAGATGAAATGGAGAACAAAATATTATTGATATTGAGAAAAAAATAAAAAAAAAAGAAGAAGAAAATTTGTAGCTCATTAAAAAGACATTTTAAAATTTATATGAAATCCACATGAAAACACTTAACAAAATTGCATCACACAACATAAAACAAATGCATAGAATTGAATAAATTAATAAATAAATGTGAAAAGAAACTCGATTAATGGGGAACCCATCCTCCAACTTCCATTCTATTCTATTTTAACCAACTTAAGCAACTTTCGATTTTTGATACGCTTTAAAGGACGCTGAGACCAACCTATTAGAAAAATCTCTCACCTCACCGACGAAATCGCTATGTATCGCTAAATATGCTCGCCCCATATAACACATGAGACACTGATTTAATTATAAAAAATTTAAACAAAGTGCAGATAGATAGCCCACGAAGACAGCCCGTATTCTCTTGGGGGTTGTAACCTTTGCCATAAAACGTTTACATCTACCTTCACAGTTACCTTTATATTCAGCTCCCAAAATGATGGAAGCAAGCCAGGTCGCTGCTGTAATTGTTTTTAACAATTTAAAAAAATTTAATTTTCATCTTTTAAATAAAAAAAAAATTGCTTTTCAAAGTTTCCTCTTGCTACTCTACCGAAGAGTATCTTATCGTCTAGAAATTTCTCCTGTAAAGGTAAAGCTTTGTTCTTGTCCATTTCGTTGATCATAACGTGCAGTTTGTTGAAGTTGTGTGCATTAGCAAACCATTTCAACGCGAACATATCTTAAGTACATGGCATTACACATTCGCACATGTCGCGCAGGATATAATAAGTTATTGTTATTGCTTTTCCCCTGCTAGCAGGCATAAATACGTGTCAAAGTATCGAAATCTTGACCTGAGTATCGATTAGCCCATCGGTTTGTGCAGAATTAACAAGGAACTCTACAAACATTGTATATATACATATATATTTGCTTAATGAACATAAGAAATTTCTTTCAAGAAGTTTAGTTCATTATTCAGGACACGTTCCAATGATGAAAATTCTTTTTTAATGTTTGGTGCCGGTACAATTGGGAATTTAAAAAATGTTAAATAAGGGTTTGGCTATTCATAATGTTATTATACCCTATACCCTATAACATAAAAAGACTTCTTGCTATACGTTTGGTAGCAGTGGGTTGCTGTGTTTGCATAAAATGTCACACAACATTAACTCTACAATAAAAGCCAGTAATAGCAAGAGCAACAACAACAGTAACAATGCTAACAAAAGAGCAAAAATAATAACATATGCGTGTTATTTCGCTATGTATACAATATTTCAAAGCATTTGCAAATAAATTAACAAACAATGAAAATTGTTTAACAATAAGGAAAAGAAATACGAGTACGAAAAACCGCACAAAATCGTATATATAAGAGCATGTGCGGTTGTATGTTAAAAGTATACATTTATAGAGAAATAAGAGTATGCATTTACATGTACATGTGCATATGTATGCATGCACAAATGCAAGTGCATATATACATGCATCCATCCATCCATCCATCCAGCCACTCAAGTATTTGTAGCAATCTTTTATGTCAAAGGCTCTTCAAAAATTGTGCTTTTGTGCTTTTGTTTGTGTGTTTGGCGAAAATTTAATTTAATATTTAAATGAATTGTTGCCGAATTATTGCTGGATTTCAGTTTTTCGGTAGTCGACACCGATTTTTCACCGAATATTATTATTGTTGTTTTTTGTTTTTGTTTTCGTTTTTGTTTTTTTTTACATTTTTGCCAGCCAACTAATCAATAGGTGTTAATAAATGACGGCACATGTGAGCGCGTACTGTACGTACTTTTATGCTAAATGTGTTAAGATTTCACTGCAATTATTTAATGGCGGTTAAGACTACTTGTTATCGTTGCTGTTGTTGTTGTTGTTGTTGTTCTTGTTTTTGTTAAATCTTATTACTATTGCATGCACGGTTATGCAATCGATTGTTAAAGAGTTAATGAATAAATATTTATTTGTTAAAACTATTAGTGAAAATGCTTCTAAATGTTTGTTAATGGTTTGTTTATGCGTTTGTAAATATTTTTAAAGAATTGATTTGTTGTTTTATTTATTTTTTATTTATTTTGGAATTGTGTTGTTCAAGCCTTTTGTTTCGCCGTTCGACTCACTAAAAATGTATGAAAATTATGGAATATTAAAAGATTTACAAAATAAATAAATAAAGAAAACGAAACGAAGCGAAGCGAAACAAGAACAGTATACGTTAAACTGAAAACCAGCAAAAAAGCTGCATTTGATTATTAGCGCGATTACGATTACGATTATTTTAGTATGCAATCCTTTTTAATAGTTGTTCTGCCATATATACCGTTTTCAGTACACGCTAAAGTTAATGATTTTTATTTTATTTTATTTACTTATTCAAAATAGTTACAAAAATTTTCAACCAAATACAATATTGAGGGGGATATATACAAATTTTGTAAAGTACAATTTATCATTAATTCTAAATAATTATCGACTAAACCTTAGGTACATAAAGAAGAAAAAAAAACAATCGAAAATTGCAATTTTAAACTAAATTAAATGAGAAAAATTATTGAAAATAAAGAAATCAACAACAACAATAACAACTATAATAACAATAATTCTACATGAAATTGAATAGGCTCCAACAGGCATGCAACATGGCAAGCGATAAGGCACGAAAGTATGCACGCATTTCGCCCATGTGCATGGACACTTACGAAAAAAAAAACTCGAGTCCATTTGGAGTTACCAACGAAAAGTTACGTTTTCTCGAAGGTGTTGTAGTTCTCATCTAACATCATGCATAAAACGCTAACAGCATTAAAAAATCAGTAATGTGTCTGCGAGTGAGACAGTCCCAAAAAAAAAAAAGAAATTTGTAGGTCGACCTTAGATTTTTTAATTTAAGAAATGACAATCTAAACATGAATTCTTGCTAACACTATTTTATGCGATGTAATTACATTTGCAAATATTATTTGAGATGTGTACCGATAAAGGTACACGTGGCACATCGTTTAGCCAAAGCTTTCAATGGATATTTCAATTGGTACGTAACTCTTTGCTTCATAGTTTTCATGTATATATACCATATATATATATAATAAATGATTTTTTGCCGTTGTTTAAATAATTGTAGTTACGAAAAATGTACAAATATTTCATCTCACGTGTACGCATGAAAACAGTATCTATTCAAAATGATTAAATATGTATTTTATGTACCGAACACGGTATGTATGGATGCGTGGAAGTGGCATCTCAACTTATTATTTATTAATTTATTTATTTATTCAGCTATTCGTAGCTACATACCGTAATGTTTTAGAAAGTGTAGAGTAAAGAAAAGGACTTTTTCCTTATAAGATTCACTTCCCACACCCACCAGGTCCACAAAGGACAAACAGGAGAAATGCTTTCTGAGCAGATTTCAGGTGGGAGACCATACACCTGAAGCATCCTTGACTATGAACCTAACTGGGGGTATATACAAGATTTTTGTTACGTCAGGGTTCTTAAAATCCTTAGCCTGCCTTTTCATGAAACTAAGAAGCTTCAAATTCCAACCATTAATACGGCAAACAGGAGACATCGGCGTGACTCTGTGAAGACTTGAGGACACGCCATTAAACTCGCACCATTTCGCTAAGAATATAGCAGATGAAACTGAAGCTGATAGAAGCTCCCCACGTTCTCAGAGCAACGGTATTTTGTCCCATTAGTAAAATTCCGTTAACAAGAAAACCGTTAACGAAGAAGGGGATCGTAACAACTTTCTCATTCAATAGTTATACTTACCAGCGAATATCTCTCTCTTTCTCCCTTTCTCTCTCTCTCTCTCTCTCTCTCTCTCTCTTCTCCATTAACAATATATATTTAAAAGCAACAAAAGACATCGCTGCAGTATACGTTTTGTTAACATGGTTTCTTCTAATGGTATTGTTAACAGCATAGGCATATGACTAAATTCAAAAAACTCCGAAAAGTTGAATTTTTAAATAGTTGCGAACAATTAGATGTCAATTGAACCATCTTTCACTGTGCAAAATGATTTTAGATAAACAATTTATTATTGTTTTTAATTCAATAATTCCGGACATTTTTTGCACGTAACGCTCATTGGCATATATTTAAAATAGCAATAAATAATAATAATCATGTTGACATGCGAACCCATATACGATATCATTGGACATTATTTTATGATTTTTTGTCTTGGCTAAGAAAGAATACAAAGTTTTTCAAACAGCATCTCAGGCTTGGCATCTCGACTTGGCTTGCCGGACGATTGGTTCTGGCTATAGGGAAATGTGAGTATAGAAAATTACATTAGTAATTGCTAATGCAAGTTATAATCCATCTGATTAGCTCTAAAGAATGTAGGCTTTTAGTTGATGG